AACGCCAGGGGCTGCTCTGAACAGGAAAAAAAGGGAGGGCAGAAGAGAAGAGAGAGGAATAAACTTTAACTACTCTTGTGCCAAGACTGTTTTCTTTTTCCCTGCGTTACACAGTATGTATGTACCTTCCAGCTCAGGCAAGGCATGTGACAAGATGCGTTAGAGAAGATTGCTTCCAAGCAGGGCCGCTCCACGAGGTGAGTTTTGGGGAGACTGTGCACATTGCATGGCAACTCACAGCAGCACAAGACCAAGGCAGATTCATCTTAGTACAAGAAGTTGTGAGGGAGGAGGAGACCCTTTACTTGGGCACAAAACAGTGGACTGTGGCTACTTGCATTTCCTAACCAGAAAAAACATACCGAGGAGAAATAGTTTGCTCGGAATTGCCTTGCTGTGATTTTAACATCTGTGCCAATTCAAACTGACAGCTTTGCAGGCGAGGGTCACGAAAAGGAATGTCATGATACACATGGTTTTGTCCTAACAATAGCATAGAAAATGCCAAGTGACTCCAGACAGACACGAAATGTGTAATGTTTGTCGCTACTGGCCAAGGCCAAACAGGAACTCAAAACCAATGTGCACAGCCTGTGCATCTTGCTTTTTAATTAGCTGACAAATTAGCTGAAACCAATTACCTATATTGATTAAGGCCAGGAGCAGTTTACTGAGTACTAACTATATGCCTAAGACATCCTCGTTGTCTGGAAAGATCTGTTCCCATTCATCCACAGGGAAGCCATTCCAATTGCTAATCCTACTGGGGAATGTGTTTCCACTACAGGAGCCACACCAAAAGCTCCTCTCATACTAAAATGAGAATTGCTACAATGCAGGTCCAGGCAACAAGAAAAAGGAGCTGCCCTGCAAGCCTCAGTCAGCAGCAGTTTTAGTTCTACCAGCGCAGACCCCTCTTACGCCGCCTATGTCGAATAGCGTGGTAAATTTGATCTTCTCTTAGCTTTTGTCCAGTACCTCTGCTTTTGCACCCAAAATATGCTGAGGTCCAGTACAAACCACGACAGGAGAAGCCACGGGCATCATGAGGTCTCCTGCCACCTTGCTGTTTTTTCACGGACATTTGCCATAATATGGTTCAGGTTTACATCTATATTTGGCTTCTCCCTGCATCTGAACTTCAGATGAGTCTGTAAAATCTACAACTCACCAATACCTGAGAAACATTTTTTCTTTTGAGGTGGCTCACGTGATTTGTACACTCTACTTCTTTGTTTCCCTGCTCTTTTTTTTTTTTTTTTGTTTTGATTTCTGCCTATAATCCAAGGCATGGATCTCATTTCACAAAGATCAGCACGAAGTAGAACTACCAAAAAAACCCCCTCAAACCCAAAGGTTTTGAGAGCTTGGTTTTCCACAGCAATCATTTGCATGCGTGTTTTCAGGTTTTTAATACTAACTGTGCCAGAAAATCGAGGCACTAGGATTAAGAAGTAGCACCAAGCATGCAGACTTCTTTCCCCGAAGGCTAGTAGTACCAAAAGACCACGGTTAGTCTGGATTGCTGCAAGGGTGTTGCAGCAATGTCTGTGCAAGAAAAAAACTGGTTTGTTTCACAACACACCAAGGGAAAGCTAAAGCTTGCATTTCGCTCCTGTGATGAGCAGGCCTATCTCTTGTTTTCTGCATGTAGCTTACTTGTTTGCTACGGACCATAATAGTAATGCAAACTTTAACACCTAAGAGAAGACAGTCTCTGCATACGCACACACATGTATAAATATATGTATTTTAAGTTCTTAAAAGTCTTCCTAGCTGTGTAGTAGGTTATGCAGTACCTAGCATAAGAGTTTTAAAAGCATCTGGGCAGACAGTTTCAAAGGCATCTAAATGCCTTGGAGGATCTCAGCCTTTGATACTTTGGAAAAGCTACCTGTGCTCTCTGCCCCCAACTGAGACTTCCTCAAGGAAATACTGGCTCCTGCAGGAAAGCTGGCCCCTGCCCCCAGTTTTCTTCCTTCCATATTTTCCTAACTCCAGCTGGGTGGAGGTCTCATGTTAAGACCATAGCACAGGGGAAAAAATGGTCTTGCAGCCAGCTGGCCCAGTGAGCAGGTGGGAAGACGTTGAACAAAATGGTCTATGGAGTGCACAGAGGAGAGCAAGAAGCTGCTGGCTTTATCTGTGGTGATGGCAGTTTGCATTACTGAGGTGTCAGGCGGTTGAGTGTTGTTCACTCCTGGATATAATTTGCTGTAACAATCAAATTAGGAAGGAGCAGTGGTTTGAAGCACTCCAGGCAGGTCTGTGCACCTCAGGACAGCATTCACCAGTCACGGAGCTGGGACATGTTTTCGCTTCATGGTGGTGTTTGCTGTATATTTCTTTGCTGGACTTGGACAGTGGTCTCAGCTCAGCATCTGCTCATCTCTCTGAATCCCCTTTTAACAAGCTGTACCTTTGGGTTGTGGCAGCATTTTCCAGATGACTTCTCAGCAGCGTCAGGCGAATCTTTGTTACTCCCTGGGACTTCGCACACCTCTGTTCCAGCCCCTTGGCTCCACCGGAGTCGTCCTCCGTCCGAAGGCACTGGTGTCCATGAAGAAGGCTGCACTGGATCTGCAGTGTGACCACAGCTGTCCCCATCTGTCCCTGCTCACACCCTGGTGAGAAGCTGCTCTGCTGCTTGCCATCACCAGGTAAGCTTGACTGCCAGGTCTGCCCTGCACTGGTGCCCCTCTTGGGGGACAGTCTAGCCACAAGTCCTTACAAAGTTTCTCCACTGCTCTTTTCCTCTTCACAGCTTGTGACTGTACCTGATGGGTTGAAGCCACCGCTTGCAGCCTTCAATCTGTGAATAGAGACTCCCAGTGAGTGTTTGGGGCCAGGACGGGAGGAAAGTGCAGCTTCTGGGAGGGACCTGACAGCACCTGAGGTGGCTTGTCTGCATGAGCTGGAAGGTAGGTGATGGTATTTCTGCTTTTGTAGCATGCTGGACTGCCCAGTAAAAACATTTGCTGGTGTAATTTCAGATCATCTGATACTGCCTCAGCATTACTTCATGTTGGAGCAAAATGACATGATGTTGGAAAAAGTTTATATGCTCCAAATGTGCTGTCTCATGGCAGCAGATCCACATGAATAGACTCAAAGTTGGATTAGGGAGAATTACCAAGTATTTCACTTTAGTCAGACCCATGCCAGAAGCTCTCATTGCATAGACACATTGTTACACCAAATGCATGCACATCTCTCAGAAACAAGAATGTCTCCTCAGAAAGCCTAAGGTTAGCTTAAGTAGTTTAAATAGCAGGTTTCACTAATCCAGCTCCTTGTGATGGATGTAAGCCTGGAGCTCATCACAACTCGTCCATGACACTTAGCAGAAACTATTTGGCAGATTTCAAATTTACAAATGAGGCAAACATAGCTGCAAAAAACCTGATGGCTCTGATATAACTCTACACAGAGGAAAAAAAGACTCTCCTGTTTCTTATATGTGAGTGTTGGTGGCCTTACACGGTAACATGGTGTGCTGAACAAACCTTTCATAATTCTGAAGCAGCCATGACTGATACACTTGGGTAACTCAAAAAAGAAGTTCCTATAAGTAAAAAAACAGAATGATACAAGGGGTAAATGAGGTTTTCCTGTCACAGGGTGCACACACAGGAAGTTTTACAGCAATATGATACACGCAGGGAGAGTGGGGAGGGAGCAGCTAAGAACATACTCCTAAATTGAATTCAGGGACATTGTGAAATACGTAGCGCCGGCTGTTCGTTGCCAAGCTAGTAATTATGCAATGTGTCTGTTTAATCTTCAGGGTGCTGTGGAGCAGCTTCCATCTGCAAGTTGTTCACTACTTATGCTCCTTCCACGTCAACGATGACAACGGAACTATTAATATCGAAAGTAAGTACAGCAGCTGCGTACTATACATCAGATGGGTGCATGCATTCTCCAGCAGCAAGCAAGCGCAGCCAGCAAAACAAGCTGTTCGTGGTGTCTGATCTGACATCTTTGCAATATTTCAAGTGAGACTCTTTCTCTGAGCAGCAATGGATACGCTCAGATATTGCTTCTTCGCTGTCCTGATTCTCAGTGTCTCACTTCCATTTCTTTTCTATGCTGTTAATCTGCATGCACAAAAACCTCTCAGGAGGCTGAACTTCTCAGTGAGTTCAACTTTAGCAGAAGCCTGTAAAGCACTAATTGAAGACAAGGCGCCCTTTCTGAAGGAAAACACTTTAAAAACATCATTCGGAGAATCCAGTTGCACGGAGTACATCACGCAGAACCACTACATCACCCGCGCCCTCTCAGCCGAGGAGGCTGCCTTCCCCGTCGCCTATGTCATGACCCTGCACAAGGAGTTCGAGACCTTTGAGCGGCTCTTCAGGGCGGTGTACATGCCCCAAAACGTCTACTGCGTCCACGTGGATGCCAAGGCGCCGGCCCCCTTCCGGCAGGCGGTGCAGCGCTTGGTGGGCTGCTTCCCCAACGCCTTCCTCGCCTCCCGGGTGGAGCGGGTGGTCTATGGCGGCATCTCCCGCCTGCGGGCTGACCTCCACTGCATGAGAGACCTGCTGGCCTCGGCCGTGCCCTGGCGCTACCTGCTCAACACCTGCGGCCAGGGCTTCCCCTTGAAGACCAACCGGGAGATCGTCCGGCTGCTGAAGGGCTTCGGGGGGAAGAACATCACCCCTGGGGTGCTGCCACCCCCCCACGTCACCGCCCGCACCAAATATGTGCACAGGGAGCAATTATACTCTTTCTTTTCTTTCATGCTATGGACATTTGTGCGCAAGGTGCCCCCGCCCCACAACATCACCATCTACTTTGGCTCTGCGTATGTGGCCGTCACCCGGCCCTTTGTGGAGTTCGTGCTGCGGGACCAGCGCGCCATCGATCTGCTGGCATGGTCTGAGGACACCTACAGCCCCGACGAGCACTTCTGGGTGACGCTCAACAGGATCCCAGGTGAGTACACCTTCACTTGTCTTCTCTGTAGATGCGCACATGCATGCACACATGCAAGGACATATACCTGAGGCTGATCTTGACGAAGCCTAGATGAAAAATTTAATCAGATCATAATTTATATAGAAGGCTGATCTATCAAATAAGCTTACTTGCCTTTTCTGACCACCAAGAGAGAGATGACTGTGCTGTGCAGGATGTGCATTACTGTTCTGCATCTGAGCAGGAAGAAGCCCAGGAGATCTAAGTTCAAATTGAAATCCTTGGACATTTCATCTGATTTAAGGCTTTTACCTGTAAAAATTGAGATGAAGAAAAGAGAAGGAATAAAGATTAAAATATGTGAGGTATGTAAGCATTGTAGTGAAGGTGTTTTCTACAAGATGCTCATTTTGCTGGGGGCAATTTTATTTTTCCACAAATAGAAGTCAATTCCTTCCTCTCTATCTATTACTCCAGAGCCAGAAAGTCTGAGTTCAGGCTTGAATCTGTTTCTAGTCTTCACGTGCTTTTCTGGGGGCACACACCAGCTCTCCTGTAACACCTGCAAAAAACCCCCTGTACTCATAACTACTGCCTACATTCCACTGTACAAGGTCAAGGATTTGTTCAGAGAAACAGAATCAGAGCGAGTATTTTCATCTTTACCTTATGTATTTACAATTAATTTTACCTTGTTCATATGACTGGGAAAGGGTCAGAAGATGCACAGGACTTCTCCCCCATGCACATTGCTTTTAGAAGCACCTGGTAGGACTTTACTGCTCCTGACTCCCTAGGGATCTACAGCACCCCAAAGCAGGGTATATAAGGAATGGAAGCAAGGATAAATTTCTTCTCCTGTCTTTTTTTTTTTTTTTCTTCTTTTCACCCTCTCCCTACTGTAACTTGTGGGAAATGAAAACAAGGAGCAGTAACAGAGAGGCAGAGCATGTCTACTTTAACCTAAGCAGCAGGCTGTGGGTCCATTTTGCAAGGCCAGTCTGCTTTCAAATTATCACATAACTCTGAGAATAGGGCTTGCTCTTCCGATAACTATATTTTACAACTGGCAGGCACAAGATGCACAAATGATTACTGATCAAGATATTTATGGCATAACCATCAGCACATATTCTTTTTAGATAGTTGACTTTTCCAGGAAGCTGGTTGCTGTGATCTTATTGTAGCCCATTGCCCCAGAAGCAGTAAACCTGGGATGAGATATGTTCTCCGCAATCAGAAAGCTTTAGGTGGCTGCCATTTGTTGTGCTGCACTGTGTAGCTTACGTAGGCTGTGTATTTCCTTGTTTATTTCCATGATCATCACTGTATGCTTTCCAGTGGTGCACATTGGCGTAACAATTTTTGTGCTTGTTCTCTTTGCATTCAAAAGAGGAATCCAAAAAAGATGAAACATTTCCACAGCAGATATGTGTCCTTCCTATTCCTTTATTCCCTGCCATCACTTTAGGGTGAACAAAAGTGGCCACGCAGCTCTGACAGATGTACTCAGGGGTGCTGTTGTCCAGGATTTTGAATCCAAACTTGTAAGCATAGCATGGAGTGTCTCATCTGAACATATTTGAGTCAGATGCAGAGCTTTGAGCAACTCTGGGGTGAGAAGTCCTTCTCAGTGCATGGGCTGTTAGCCTGGGACTTGGTTCCTGGCTCTCACAAAAATGTCTTGTTCAAGTTTGGCCAAGCCACTGCCTTTTAGGTTTTCATGCATACAAAGGGAGACGATAGTGTCAAGCAGTGGTCCAGCTGTTAGAGCAAATAGTTCAGAGGCCTCCAAGCAAGCGGAAAGATCGTTTAAAGACCAGTTTGGATGTACACCATATAATGAAGGAACTAAACCAAACAGATATTTGTAGTTTCAGACAGCTGTGATAATCTCAGATAAAAATGGCTGTTCGGTCCCCAAACCTTAAAATAGCATGCTTATTACCCAGAGCCATGCAATGAAGACCAAGAGGTATTTTGTTTTTAGCCCCCTAAAGGCTAGGGAAGTTCAATTCCCATTCAGCTGGCTTTCAGGTAACAGTCTTAACTTACCTTTGGTATTTATCTCAGGCCACGTATCTCCCACATGACTCCTGTATGACAGAAAATTCTTGAAAGTCGCTTTTCAGATAAGGAAGAGAAGCATGGGGAAATCAAGGGAAAGTATTTGCAAAGTATGTAGGCCTGAAATGACTGGCCCTAAACCACTTCCCCTGGGTCACACAAGAAGGGAAACACCACCCTAGTGCAGGTTAGCAGCCACATCCCAGGCCAGCAGCGTAACCTCTGGGCCACCTTTCCCCCCTCTGCTCACGTAGAGCAGAAAGCAGGTTCTGGTCATTGTGGGCGAGGTGTGCATCCACAGTCCATGCTACTGAGTCCTTCAGGGCAGCCTTACTGAGTCCTCTTCCAAGCCAAAATCCTGTCCCCACTTTCATGCAATAGGGTCACAGTATATGCATGGCTTGGGATACAGGCAGCCTCAGGTACCCTCAGGGTACACACCGATATGTACGTTGACATACACATATGTTGGTCCACTAGTAACTTACACGTTGTTCAAGTGGGAAAATAAAGGTCAGGAGAAGTAATAGCAGCACTTCTCATTCAGAGACACCAACATGCTTTACAAGGGAGATTAGTGCTATTATTTCCCATTCACAGAAGCAGGCAGAAAGGGGCAAAATGATATTCCCAGTGTTTTAAACCAGACCATGGGCAAAGACAGTGCTGGAGCACTGACACCTGACTCCCAGTCTAATGCACTGGGTTAAACTGCTTTTTCAGAATTGGCTCACCTGCAGAATGACAGAGCGTGGTTGCACTGTTGCTTCTGCACCAGCCCTGTTTCTTTACTAAGGGTGAGGGTGCACAAGATGGCTGAGCACTAAAAGCTTGTTGTTGCCAAAATAGGAAATTTTCTCCTGCTCATCCCTTCCCGCTCCCTTCTGCCCACCAGTCCTGTGCCAGCAGCATTGCCAGTTCAACTCACTAGTTCTGAAGAAAAACAATCTACTTTTTTTCCTGAGTCTGTGAATTTAATTGACTTGGCGAAGAATCTGACCAGCACTGAAGTCAGCACAAATTAAAGCTGGGGGTGAACATGCAGATGTGAACAAAAAGGAGAGGAAAATGGGAAGGAGAGGAGGAACAGGAGCCAGACCTTCCCCTTTCAGTGATGGTGAGCCATGAGACTGGCTCAAGCCACGAGCCTGGCTCAAGCCACCTTCTACAACGCCACCTGCATACAGGCATTTTTTTAACATCTGAGCTTGGAAGCGTAGGGCAGAAATATTTAAAGGCATTACCCATGTTTTATCAGTATCAACAGTTTCTGTACAGTTTTCATCCCAAAACAGACAAGAGATGTATTTGGGGAATCCAACGCTGCTAGTTGGACGTATTTTTGTTATTGCATTTAAGACACATTTCTAGGAAATGAGGATATGGAGATACAAACTTTAAAGTCCCATGGGTTATATCACACTTACAAACTGCCTGTCTAAAACTCACATGTTCATGTCTTTTTGCTAAATCTTTTACCTATAGGAAGTTCTCTCACATTGATAACAACAAAACAAGTCATAGCTTTGTCTGCTTTAATCTTCAAGATTATACTATGCACACCCTCCAACTGACAAGTTAGCTGTAAGGAAATATTCAAGAATGCATCCTCAAAGCCAAAATAAATATGTTAGAAGGGCTAGCCCATAGTCTGAAGAACAAATGTCGTCTGTGCGCCACAGAGAGTTCACTGCAACATCCTGTAAAAATAGCATCTCTCTTCTACTTTGACCTTTCTGCTAGGTGCTGCTGGCACCAGGTTCATTTATACAGATGATTCTTCTGTCTTAAATGATCTGGGTTAACACCAGTCCGGAAAATGTGAAAGAGTTTTTATTTGCAATCAATCCTTGCCCTGGATCACTACATAGTCCTATAAACGGCTGCACTGGCAGGACTGAAGGGGCTTGGTGGTTATGGGAATGAACAGCCAAGGTGTTTCAGGGACAGGGAATAAATCTCCGGAGGCCAGCAGCATGTATTTAGGTAAGAGGCACCCAGAGCACTTTAACCACCATCCTTATTCCTTCTCTCAACACTGTGACTGCACTTGTGCACTTAGAAAACAATTCTCTTTCCTACTTCCCTGCACCTCTTTTCCAAGTTTCTTGTTCAGGTTTCATTTTAGGGAATTTCTCCCAAATTCGGGTGTGGATACACAATTAATGTTTTAGTTGGGAGCAGAAGTGTGCTTCTGAAGTGCTTTCCCTCCAACTGTTCCTTCCTACTGCACGCTAGTTTTATTACTCAGATAACGATCTTAGTGCGCGAGGGCTGGCTCCTTCTCCGGTGGAACCAAACCAGAAGATGTGTATTAGCAGGACATCTAGTGCACTGCAGCAGCTAAGGGAGACACGGGGATCTGAATCGGGGAACAGCCTGCGCCACTGCCAAGCACAATGCTGGTTCTAAAGCGCACACTGGCAAGTATGTGCTAGTAGAAGACTCCGAAATGCCAAGGGCTCATGTTGCATACGTAGCTAGGTGATGCCTGGTCTTCCACAGTTGCTGTCTCCCACCAGCACGCCAGTCTGGTTGGTCCTTCCTTATCTCTACAATATTTCTTCTGCCTCAATATTCTTCCCTTGCTCTCCATCTTTTGCCATTTCTCCCATGCTGAACTTCTTTGTTCAGCTCTCATTTGTTCTTCAATGTTCCCCTTTCCTGTTGCTTTCCTTATTTCATGGTAAGTGCAGGAGATTTCAGGTTCTGGCGCACTCATCCAGGATCCTTGTTTCTGGATATCACAAAAAAACCCTGCAAGAGAACACTCATATCCAGGCACACTGCTTTTTCTATCTCACCTCAGCTCCTGTACCATTGTCACCAACTCAGATGCATGTATGGCAGGGGAGTGTGGGGACATGCTGGGCTGCTGGGGGATCACTTGTCCAGGGTATCGGTCTCAGTTTTGCACAGATGCAATGAGTACTGCCAGTCTCATAATAAGAGCTGTTAAATCCTTAGCAATCCCCCCAGGCTATGAGCTGCAAGAGAAAGTTTGCGTGTAGCAACCGGCTATTACAGAAATCACCCACTCATTCCCTGCCCTGTACGAGTGCCCGGTTACGTTCTGGCAACTGAGCAAGGCTGCAGATGCATCCTGCCATGCTCGAGCAGCCCTTCTAAGCTTCCATGAAAAGACTCTAACACGTGGTTCCTTTCTCTCCCTCAAAATGCTGGCGCTGTAGCAATGGTGCCATGCTCAGCAGTTCTTTGGTTCCTGTCACTGCAGAGTGCAACAGCAGCAAGTCTGGAGTGGTTTGCCCTTACACAGAGTACAAGGTGGTTAGCAGCCACGCCAGCTGTTAGCCACAGCAATGCACCTCTCTTCCCTGCTCTCATTCTGGCCAGCACAAAATTCACCTGGCCACCCGCAGGCAGTACGGTCCTGCCTCTGGGATGTGCCTTGGTCATGCACAGCCCTCCACAGAGATCATGAGTGGCGCTTGGCATTCACTTGGTGTAAGGGAAGCTGGAGGTTTGCAGGGAAAAGTGCCAAGGCAGAACCACTTTTATTCCTGGCTTCTGCAAGAAGCCTGCAGAATGGGGACCAGCTGTGGGTCATGTGTCCCAGACTGGGGAGTGGTGGGAAGGTGCACCATATCACTTTTGCTCTTGTGCCAGCCTGAAAGGGACATTGGGTACACAGCATGCCATCACCGCCTACTGCAAAACTAGACAAACTTTTGCATAAACGTGAGGTAGTTGTTGATTACCAGAAGGTGTGGCCCACAGTGTCGTGTGCGAGCCTGGAAACCCCCACCACTCTGATCTGAACGGACAGATCACAGAACCACCAGGCCTCCAGCAGCTTCCTACTGAGCACAGGCACCTGGGGACATCAGCAACCTCACCCTCTTTGAGTGAGGTTCTTTCTCCTGTGGTTGCTAATCTGACATGGAAATCGGGAACCCATCCGTGTAAGATTTTGCATTCTAGCTTGTGCCTGCTCTTCCAAGGATTCACCCAGCTGTGTGCCTACCACAATTGTAAGTGTTTTTGACACAGTTGCATATTGTGTCTAAGTGTGAAGACTCAGAATCCCCTCATCTCTCTCTGAGCCGGATGAAGGTTGCTAACATATTCGTTCATTTTGTCAATGGTTGGGAGGGAATGAAAATGATGGATAGTTTTTTTTGCAAGCAGAGTGTTAAACCACCCCCAGACTTTGAAAGTATATCTGCTCCATCCTGATGGTAATTCCTTGGCTGGGAGCTGAATGGTGGACAGAAAAGTGAGGACGACAGTTGGCACACAGTATGTCTCGGGTAACGGCAGGCATGTGGCGGGTAATACTGTGAGTGAAGCTAGTACGCTCTCAAGATAGGAGTTCTCCTTGTGAAAATTTCACTGCAGTTTACGTGAAGCAGTATCTTCACATCCAAACAAGAGCTGGTGGCTCTCAAGCAACGTCTCATTCACATGCCTTGGATGTGGGTGTGAGATCCAAGAGGAATACCAGAAAATTCTGAGTAGCATTGCTAGCACATTAATCAATCACATTAGCCAATACCTTATTTTTAAGTTTTTATATGGCTATTTGCTTGTACGAAGAGACCCACTTTTTTTTCCCAGATGTTTTAGCCTGCACTGAACTTCTCGTTAGAGTAACTTAATTCTTTGTAACAGTAACTTAATCCTTCATAACTACTTTGGTAACTCTCCATCCTGCTGTTGTTTGTAGACATGCGCTTGGAACAACCTTCTCTGCAACACACACATTATATTAATACGCACCGCTACATTTTTGTTCTGCCTGCTAAAATTGTTCCTTTCCTTTGTTCTAGAAAAAAAAGTATTTTGTACCTATGCCTCCATTATTTCTCATATAACTAATCCATGTCCTCTTGTTCCTATTCTCCATTATTTTGATGAGACTTCCTGATTGAGCAAGAACTTCTCATAGGAATAAGCTATAAAAAAAAAAAAGGGATTTTCCTGTGACTGTTATTGAGTCTCATGCCCGCAAAGCTGTTGTAATCTCATCATCAAAACCTCTTTTTGCAAAACCTGCTTAAGGGAAGGTGTGGCAACACAGTCACAGCAATCACAAATACACCTTCTTTATGGCAGAATTTCCTGAAAAATTACTCTTGTCCTCTATCTACTATTCAGATATGATAGTTCATCTGAGAAATAACTTAAAATAGGGTTTGGTCTCTGTGCAATCCGCAGTCATTGGAATTTAAGTACTGCTTTCAATAGGAGCAGTACTTTGCTTCACAACCAATTGTTTGCTTCTCACTAAAACACTACTTAGTGATGACGGGACAAGGAAGGGTATGTCTTCAAGAGGCCTTTTTGAAAAGCCACAGCTAACAAATGGACTTGCACTCCTTTGCTTTATTCTCCTTTATCTTCACATCTATCAGACATTGATGTGATAGGCTTCAAACAGCACAACTCCTTGAAGAACAGGAGCAGATGAGTGTAATTTAAGGAAGAATGTTTTTCTTTCTGACTTCTGGCGTCGGGTAATGTCTGTCACAACTCATGCATGTAACCAACCAAACTTCAGTCCAGCTGCAGTAACAGAGATGTTTCTTGACGTTCCCAGATGCTGAGCTGCCAACAGCCCTTGTTTTTGTTAGGGGGGAACTCCAGTCAGGTCACTTGAACCTGTCCCCTTATTTCACCTACGAGCATATTCTTCTGACCACTAAAGCTACATTACACGTGTTGAGAGACAAACCCTGACGCCAGCACCCTGCCTGGGCAGCCGGGGTGGAAGCTGGAAGAACGATGCCTGAACGGGTGCCGGGGTGGGCACCGGTGGTTCCTGCAGAGCGTCTCTCCCCTTGGCTGTCCTCAGTGCCCAGCGTGTCCCCACAGGTCCAGCTCACTCCCACTCTGGGAATCGGGTGTTTTCTGAACAATCCTGTAGAGTTCAGCTCCTCTGATGCAGGACCGCAACCCTGCCAAAGACATTAGAGTTCATTTATGGGTCAATAACAGCTCAGAAAAACCTCCTTCAAAACATATCATCAAATGAAGCTACTAGAACTGAGACCCTCTCCTTATTATCCATTGGATGATTCAACACAGGAGGTGCAGTTTAGCTCTCTTATGACTGTCAGCAGCCTGATGGCTCAAGGAAATGATGTGCATTGCCTTAATTCAGACCGCCGTCTTGAAATATGTAGTTTTAAATTAGCTTCTTTTTTTTCCTTGAGTTTTATTTCCTTCTCTCCAGGTTCTGAGGTCTGCTTTAAAGCTTGACAATCTTGACTTTATTTTAGTTAATCCCTCACTCCTCTACACACACACGTTTGAATTCACATACCGCACTGAAATGAAAATCTATGGTGGCAAAATACAAAATTGAGCCTTTGTACATTTTTAAGGAGGGGTGGTGGGTTTTTTTCTCCGTTGTTTCAATCTCATCTTGAAAGAAAATCTCTTCTTCTGAGGACTCTCCCATATCTTTACCAGCCACCTGCCTCCCATGGACAGCTGGGAGAACTTGTCTCACAGGACAAACAAGAAAACAGACAAACCAGGATTTCAGAGCAAATCATTCTTGCATGCTGTCTTATGAGCTCGGTCAGACAAATTCTTGTTGCTGTGCAGGGTTAAGAGGTGACCATTTCCATCCTACCCGCATTCGCTCATCAGCTTCTCTCCATCCTTCTACTGACAGCTTAACTCCTTGATTTCTCCCTATTGCAGTTCTGTAAGATGACAAAAATGGAAAAAAAAAACCAAACAAACCTAATTTACTGTTGGAGAACCTGGAAGGGACTACAATAGATTGGATGAACCTGGGAATGAAGCCCTGTGTCCACAAGTGGAACTTCTCACGCAGCTAGGAGGGTTGCAAGCGCGGTGGCCACCACCAGAAGGCAGGGCCGGCCTGCAGGGCGCGCGTCCCCTTGCCCCCAGCACTGCCAGCACCAGCCCGGGGGCTCTGTCTGGAAACGTGCCATGAAGGCGGCAGGGGCAGGGAGCACCCTGGGGTGCTGGGCTGGCTGTAGGCGGTGGTGAGACAGCCCTTCCCAAGTGTGGGAGGTGGCTTGCGGCAGTGCGTTTCACGGGTCAGCCTCGCATTTGTGTCCTCTCGAAGTGGGACTGCCCGGGAGGTGCTGGCCAGGCCAGGGGCAAGCCGAGGCTGGCAGTGTGGGCCATGCGGTGGCAGCGGTCAGTGCGGCTACTGGTGGCTGCCATGGTGCTGCTGGGTGCTGCCATGTTGCTGAGGCATGTGGCAGCCCCCCGCAGGCCACAGCGCTGGACCGGGCGTGCAGCATGCTGCTGGCCGGGCGGGACCCCTGCCTGAAGGGCAGCTGGCTGCGGCCAGCACCAGGGGCAGCCCCCTGCAACATGTACGTGTCCCGCAGCCGCTACATCACCCGCGCTCTCTCAGCCGAGGAGGCTGCCTTCCCCGTCGCCTATGTCATGACCCTGCACAAGGAGTTCGAGACCTTTGAGCGGCTCTTCAGGGCGGTGTACATGCCCCAAAACGTCTACTGCGTCCACGTGGATGCCAAGGCGCCGGCCCCCTTCCGGCAGGCGGTGCAGCGCTTGGTGGGCTGCTTCCCCAACGCCTTCCTCGCCTCCCGGGTGGAGCGGGC